TATCACTACAATAGGAAGTGAAGAAGAATGCTACATTTTTATATTATGTTGGACAGATGAGATTTAAAATAACGTGCCTTTTGAACTTTAACAAAAACATGTACTCTAAGTCCTTTATAGTGATAAAGTCGTATTAGTTAATTAAAATGCGAGGCTCGTAATATAATTTTCATTCTGAAAAAACATACTACTTATAGCAATCTATATTGACAAAATGTTTATTTAGTCTAATCCATAATAGTAGTTCGTACTAAACAACCCAAATGTTCTTAAAATTTTTTCTTTATTTATTTTTATTTTTCAACTGTTTGACAAACGGTTAAAAAATTAAGTTTAAACTTTTAAAATAAACAGCATTTAATAGTTTAATGTAACTTAGAATGAGTGTTTATACGTAATGTTATAATATTACACTTTTTAACTTATTAACTGAACTCTTAAAATTCTAATTTTTTTTTAGAATAATCCAATACACTTAATAGTTTTAAAGGTAATATAGTAATGTTACTCATCAGAGAAAATATCTTATTATAAATGATAGTAAATTTTCAAAAAAATGTTTAGATTAACTAAAATCAAACACTATCTAATAAAAACGAAGATAAACACCATGCGACAATATCAAATAATTTTCAAATCTGATGCAACCAGCTATGCTAGTTTTAACATTTTCTCTCAAAAAAAGTAGCTTTATAAGGTATATGTTAAAAGGTAAATTTATTATAAATAATATAATTATGAAAATTAATGTTAAAAATTACATTTAATAGACTTAAAGAAAGTGGATTCATTACCATTTAAAGCAATCGAAAAGTAAAAACTATATTTCTTACTTTCTTAATAATTCTTTTATGGTCACTAACTCATCAAAATCTAGATTATAAATATGAATTTACTTTCAAATTATACAATTACTATTTTTAAAAATTAAGATAATAATTTAATATTGTGGTAATAATAAGCAAGCTCAACAATTATCAAAAAAAAAAAAAAACACCTGACTATTTCATGTATAAGCCAAAAAGTGTCTGTATAAAATAATTACAAATATTTTTAATTATATTAATAACTATTGCAATTAAACTTTTTTTTATCATTTTTATTTAAATTGTGAAAAATGTTTAATAGTATACATTGTTTTATCTGTAAAACTATATACCGTTATATAATTTATATTATTATTTAATTTGTTATTATATTTATAATAATAAATACTAAATTTATTATTTCACGTTTAATTTTTGATTTTTACCTAAGTTTGCTAACAATAAATTAAATCAATATAAACTTGTTATACTGAAATGTTTATATCCCACGTGGGATCGGATGCCACTCAAAGTAATATGGTAGTTGATTTTGGTAGATTTTAGTTCAATTTTTATCTATATAATTTATTTATGTAAACTAAACGTAGGCTTGATAGATTTTCTGTTGCTTTGTATTTCAAATATATTTTTGAACAATGAATTGATATTTTTAAATTTACATTAATATTATTAGCATTGTCTTTTACATATCATATCTTAGGTGAGAAATCCAACTGCTTACGAATAGTAAGCATACGTAAAAAATGTGTTGACGAAAAAAAAGTCATAGCAGTAGTATATTTTAATAATATTCCATTCTATTTAAAATTCCTAGTACGTTATTAAAAAAGTATAAAACAAAAATTGTAGTTATACTCAATAAGTTTAAATATTCAGATGTTTAAATTTAATTTTAGAATCTTATAACATATTTTTTATAATTTTAGTTTTAGATAGGTATTTATATAATAAACATTTCAATATATTAAATTTACAATGGTATTCTGTACAAATCAATATAGTTTAGAATCAATTAATTTATTATATACATAAATGCGAAAATTACGGTATTTTATAACAACTTTATAGTTTGCTTTGAAGGTAAATTAGAAGAAAATTAAAAGTTAATAATAGAGAGACAAGCCATTATTCCTTTGTATTTACTAGTATAAGTTCCAGTAAGACAATGAACCACTATATTTAAACTCAAGTTATTTAGTGTCTAATACACATTTCAGTAATTTAATCTTAAATAATCCACAAACCATTAAATTCTTACCAATTTTCAAGAATAGAAATGGCCTTATGAACTGAAGCAAAATATTTTAACAACATTAAAATGAATTGTTTAAAATAATAATTGTACATTCGATACAATCACGACAATATTTCTGATAGCGTATTGTAACAGAACGGCATACTCTGTAGGATACTAGTGCACTAAAATCAGAATATTTTTTATTTGCTTTCAAAATTGTAAAAATGGCATAATAGCAACAATACACAGAGAAAAAGCTGAAACAATTATAAGTATGTTGAAATCGAAAATCCAGGTTACAGAGAACATAAAAATAGCCTTTTTTGAATTGATAACCTGCAATGTACTTAAAAAACACGAAGGCGATTGGCAGCCTTATTATGTTCTAATTTATTGTACAACAGAATAAATAATGTGTCAGTAGTAAATCTGACACTAATATATACTAAAATCTTGGTTGATTTACAAAAAAAAAAATTATTGGAAGGCTATAGAGGAAAAAAGTAATTATTAGTAAAAAATTTGGATTTCAGTAATTATTTACTTAATCAACTATAAATCCCACGATGGGACGTGTTCAACTTGAGTGATGATGGCCAGTTATAGATATACATAAAGAATAATAGGTATTTTGAAAATTGAACAATACTTTATTTAAATTTTTATCAAAGTCAAGACAATGAATAGCTCAGTGTCGTGTATTCGAGTGAAGTATTGAGTTTTTGCAGACACAAATCCTTTACACACTCTCGCCACAAGATTACAATTATTATTGTGTACAATCCGTCGTTTACACACAGCAGTTGAGTACACTCGCATTTCCGTACATTCGAGATCTCTAGATCACGGTTGTCTTTATAGACGTACATTATATATATATATATATATATGTACACGTGCGGAGGGGGTGAAAAGAGTTTTACCCAATTTTAGTACTTAATTCCCCCAGAGAATCAACACGATTGCTATTGCGCGAGTGTTCGTACGTCGTCTGTTCGCACACATTCGTCTTCTTTCGCCCGCTCGCCTTGGCCCTGTGGCAGTCTTAGCAATGTCAAATCGTCTTCGCTCACCGTGCCCCGTGACCACTGTAAATCTGTCTTGCGCCCCATTACTTCGGTCCCAAAGAAACGTAGAGATGTTGTATTGTTCTAGGTAATTGATAAGAAAGTATGATTTTTTTTCCACCGCGGCTGTACCTCTAGGCCCTAGCTGAGTTTATCCGAAGACTTCATTTTACGATACTATAAAACCCAAACCACTCGAAAGTGAAGTGTGTCAACTTAACTTCTAACGTATTTCTTTCCATAGATAAATATCAATTGAAATTATCCCCTCCGATTACAGTAGTTATTGATCAATAACTTATTAAATTCAGATTGTATAAGTTCAGTCGGGAACGGATTATGCGTTAAGCGCAGATATCCAATCTATAGAATAGATTCGACCTAAAGTTCTGATACGCCGAACTGTATAGATATTTCCGTCGTCGCAATTATAAGAATTAAGTTTCTTAGCTGAGAGAATTTTAAACGTACAAGAAAAGATATTTATATTCTATAAATAAATCTTAAACTTACACAACCAATATATATATATATATATTGAATAACCTGATGTTTAGATAGCCACCTAAAAAATTAATAAAGTAAAACTAAGAATAATGACAATTTGTAGCTAATGGCCTCAGTTTCCGAACACTGTATTAGGACCAATAAAAAATAAATGTGTGCGCGAATTTAAATACATTTTGTGTATAAAGAAATATTCCTTTATATTTTTATTATACCAATAGTATTCGAAAACAAAGAACACTTATCCTAGAATATCTGATACATGACGCATTTATACGATACAATTATAATCACATAAAACAATTGAATGAGGGTAACCAATTTAGCTTAGTCGGAACCGCGTCATATCTCAGACCAAAAATTTTACAGTTTGATTTTATACCATTTTACTGTATTTTTTTTTATATTCTCTGAGGACTACATTTGAAAAAAAACACTCACTCAAAAGGTGGTGTTACCTTTTGTCCTAAATACGTATTTTTGGTGCATTATCAAGAAATGAAAAATTCTAACACTATATTGAATGAGAGGCGTAAAATGTTTAAACTCAGCCTTGTATTGCTAAGTATTGAAATGCCTACTTGGTAGTAAGTTAACTATGAATTAGGTAATTGGATATGTTTTTATTATTGTATGTAATTGAATGAATAGGATATTTTCAGAACTGCCTTCATAATATTTCACAATGTTCAAATTTATATAAAAAAAAAAAATTACGAATATCTAATATATTTAATTATCTATTAGTTTTGCATAAGCAAAAATCAGTCACAAATGAGTTTCATTACCATTAAATGTGTAAATACTTAATGCGTTTTTTTCAGTAACTCTTTACAGATTGTTTTATTATTATTAAGAACATTTTCGTTGCATATTATCATGTACGATTTTAGAACCATTATTTACAAAATTAATACGGTAAAATATTAGTAAATTTAGTCTATACTCGTAATATTCGACTGTTTTTTTTCCTGTTGAAAAAACTGATATAAAAATATTTCTTGTTGTCGCAAAGTTTATCCTCAATTCTCTACCCTAGAATAAACGTAATATATATATGTATACTGCAAATTATTTTTTTATTTTTTCGTAAAACGATAAGAAATAACTGATTTTATAAATTAAGTGAAGATAATTTTAATAATTTCAGTGTAAAAATATTTAATTCACTCGTCTTGTCGAAAAAATATTGAGGTACCAGAAAATCATTCAAATCTCACCGAAACTTTCAGACAACGATACTTGTTTTAGATATTTGGATTTACTAGCCATCTCAATATTAGACAGTACACAAAGGGGCGGTCTTAAAAAACTATCGTCTACCCAAAACCGTGTGCGCGTTACCGTGTTGGCAATTATTAACCGTCGTGGATAGTTGTGGCGGCGGCGTACGAAGTGGCCGGAAAAACGCGTTTCGGTGATATGGTGTGGCCGCGGTCGTAGTCATTCGTCCCGTGCGCATTGACACGCGTTCGCCAAACAGTCTTCAAAATATAACAACCCGGTGGAGTAGTACACGAGGGCGACACGCGGTTCAGTAGCACGCCTACGGTGTGGCCAACCGGCAGCTTCACGTCCCGTTGTTCTCTCACTGTCGTCATTTTAGTGAGTACAAACACGATCAGAATTGTTTAAGTATTATAAAAAAAAAAAAAATTCCCCAACTAACTTCAAGTAACAAAAGAAATTAAATTATAATAGGCAATTTAGATCGATACCAAAGAACAATAAATAATTAAAATCCAACTATCACACAGATAATCATTAAACAATTACCGAAGTTCTATAATATTATTATAAAGTATTCGTGCTACAGGTAAATTTGTGCAACTATTTCAAAATAATATTTATTTTTACTAGTTAAATGACTGAATATAAGATCACCTTAGTTATTGAAATATTTTTTAATTCAAATATCTATAAATAATATTCTAGACATATTTCTACGTAATATAATTTTTATTATTAGAGCCCTTATAATTTTGATCTGTAATTTATTTTTGAATTTATATTTTTTCCGGCAATTTTATAAGAGAGAATAGAGTTTATAACTATTATTAAAATAATTTGAATAACCTATCGATATCATATTCATGAAAATAAACAAATAAAACTCGCATGAGATCTTAGAAATAAAAAAAGTGATTATTTTGAACGTAAAACTTAAATAACTCAATCTTATCAATTATTTCAATATTCAAATAAATCTGCGATAAAATAAATATATTATATAAATATATTTTTTACTTCAAAATTTATTTGTAAATTTTAATAATTAATTTATCATTACTAATTTATTTATTATTATTTTAATTCATATTATATACATATACATTATATTAAACTGGCCAATTGTTATAAACAATAGAAATCCGTTTCCTTACTTACTGAACACCATATATAATAATAATTATGTCATTTTATAAGAGTTTAGAGTAGATTATAGTAAAACTGGAAATCATTTTGATTGAACAAATCTGTTATCAGTATGATAATTTCTTTGTACGTATATTGAATAAGATTTAATTTAAACATTTTTATAATTAATATTTTGATTTATAAAATTCACTATAAATGTTGCTGCAATTTTTCAAGTTAAATTTTATCTATATAAGTGTCTATATATAGTGTAGATAGTAATGTCTAAAGTATGACGATAATTTATAAACATTTTACATGAAACAGCTTCGATAGATTGTTATTAGATCTTCACAATGAAATAAGAGAATCAAATATTGAACCTACTGTTTTGAATTAACCAATGGTTATAACTATAGATATGCTAACCTATTTGTTCAAGTTCCGTAAAAAAGTTTTTAAGTTTATAATTTTAGTGTGCATATAACAATTATATGTCCAATTAGTGGTTTAACTGATGTTTTTTTGGCATAGAAGTCGGAAATAATGATATTTTACTTTAAATGTATTATTTATTCAAACTTTTATATAAATTAGTTTATTGATTAAAAAAACTAGCTCTAAAGAAAAACATCTTATAAAGTAATTCGTGGAAAAAACAAATTAATTTTGATACTAAATATTTTATTCTTGATTAAGCGAAGAACAATCAAATTACATGTTTTCATTATAAGTAAGTATTATATATATATCTTGGTTAAGAAAAAAAATCATAATAATTTTGTAGGAATGTTAGATGTCTTATCATCATATAAAATAGAAAAATATAAATTATGTAACAACGAGAACACAAACTCTACTTCTCTTCAACCTAAATTCTAAAATAATTTAAATAACATCAAAAAGTTACGATGTACAAATGTAAACCAGTCGTTACAATATTGACATAGTTTTTTTTCATACCATTACAATGGTATATTTTACACTAGATTTCCATTATGATACAAAATATGATTAATTTTAACAATAGTCTAAAAATTAAAAATTACGTTGGAAGATTCGCAGAATTTATTCTTTGAATCTTTCATCGTAAAGTTATAACTTTAGCATTAAGTTATTTAAATATACAATTATTTATGTATCAAAAAAAAAAAATTTCTTTAGAATGAAGTTCTTAAAAAAAATGTAATATCATTTATAATGAATAGAAAAAGTTAAAATGATTACATTTTTACCACCGTTTACAATGTTTTATTATATTGTTAAATTAGGTTGAGATTATGGCCGTTAGATTGAAAATTTATATTGGATAAATACGTTAAATTTCAATCATGATTAATGAAAGTCTTGACATTTTATTAATGATTTTTTTTTTTGCATCATTATTGCGAAAAAATACATTTTCGTCTATCTAATACATGAATTAGACAAAAAAAAAAAATGTATGAACATTTTCTAACCCAATTTACAGCAATGTTTTTTGTTTATATAGAAAAAATATTTGATATTTTTAATTTTTTTTCGATAGTTTTCATGATTACCTATTAACATTGTTACTCTCTAGTCATTTTTCCTTCACTTTGATTTTCAGTGTGGATTTTTAGATAATTTTAGCCAGAAAAGTGCTGTATACATAAACAAGGATTTTGCTACAGTGACTTTTTGAAAACAAATTAAGATTAGCACAAAACTAAAAAGTAGTTTTTTTTTCTTTAAAAAAATTAAAAATACAGTGAATTTTTTACATTTAAGTAGTATTTATCAATGGTTTCCAAACTAATTGACAAATAGTGATATTTCGATTAAACGATGAAGAAATGACACTTCTCTCACATCATTTATTGTGTTTTTTCTTGTCTCCGGCTTTGGTTAAATGACAAAAATACCAATATAAATAAAATTCAAACTTTTCAAAATATAACATTAAAAAATAAATAAACTTTCCGTTTTTCGCATAAAACTATGTCCTACATTATGTACCACCAAATTATATCTATAAAATAAGAAAAAATATCTTTCATAGAATATTATTGCCTACTCCATGATGTTTGAAAAGTAAATAGTGTAGAGTTGAATTAATGAAAATTTTTATAAGCAAAATAAAATGAAAGTGTTATCACTGGATTTGCTTCATTCGTCAAATATGTATGATATTTTATTATTATTTTCACTACTTAACTTATTGTACCTATTTAATCTATTTATTATTATTCAACACGAAAAATGAACAATTAAAGCACTAATTTATAATGAAAACAAATTTTAAAATTAAATAAATAATGACACGACTTACGTCGCAAAAATGTGGTCGACACTGGTTTTGAGGGTAGAGACCCGTGGGCCGTTTATTAAATGAGCGACAACAGATTATTTTAACAAAAATAAAACAAACCGAAAAGATAAACACAGTAATAATAATCTTCGCATAATATCGCGGCACTTTCGCTGGCGTCGACGACGCGATGTTCGGCGTAATCCTTGGACGGCAAAATGGTTAGCAGCGTTGTAGGCGACGGTGCGCGGGTGCGGTTCGGCTGTCGACGTAGTCGCTTTCACAACGGGAGGAAGACTCTCGCACCATTTGCGGCGGGTCGTCGTCGGCCGTGCGGCATTTGCTGGACTTTGCACCGTGGCGTATGGCACGCGGTGTTGGTCAGTCAAATACTCATAGTAGGGCGACGGCTGATAAAGGTGGCACGAGTCGCGGGGCATCGTGTATAACGAAGCGACGCGGGCCGTGTCAATAATATTAATGTAGGTAATATACAGCTAAATAAATATCTAGATTAGATATAGACACACAAATAAAAAGTCATATGTAAATGAGATAGGTATTCTAGGAAAAAATCAATGAAGAAATATTATAATGTTATCCAATATTTTATAACAAAAAAACTTAACTTAAACAATATACAACATAATAATATTCGATAATATATCAAGAGACAAAAAAAAATTGACAAATTATTTTATTTCATAAATAGTTAAATAAATAATAATCAAATAGGAAAATATTTTCTTTTTATTATTTGTTATATAATCAATTTGAAATGAAGGGAAATCATATAAAAAAAAAAACCAGAAAAAATTTAAATTGTTACTTAAGAATCTTTTCAGCTACACAGATAATAAAAACTATTGTTTTTATATATTATATGGTTTTTTGTTCGATTTAGACATTTTGTCGAACTTGCATGTTCGACAAAAATAATGTGTAGGTGGATTATAATTTATTAAAACTTTTATTACATTAGAATTTATTAAATTTTATTTATAAAAATAAAATCGAAAAATCGACATAAAAGATTACTAAAAATTAAAGTGTAAATTTATTTTAAATTTATACAAATGACAATAATTTGTAGATATAGAGGAATGCTCAGTAGTGAAATATTTTAGAACTTAGATTGATAAGTTTATTATATATGCTTTATCAATAAATTTGTAATACACATTTGATTATCACTAAAAATGTTTATTTTATGCTATAACTAATTATTTAAAGATAATTTGTAATACCAAAAACCAACAACACTTTTATTTTAAACATGTTATATAATTAAATAATTAATTCTAATAAAACTGTATCCAACTAACTAAAACCACTGTCTTGTAATTACTAAATTCCTATGTAACTACACTATTAACCAACTAATTTATTTTCTCTAATTAAGGTAAACAATTGATAACTTTAATCAACTTATTATATAAGCAATATAAACTTTTGACTAAATCTAGTCTCATGATGTTAGCAAATAAAATCAGTTTTATATTTATTATTAGAAATATGCTGAAATATGACAGATGTACGAAATTGTTAAGTCCCTTAAAATCTGTTTTTGTTTTTAGCTCCTTAAATATAAATGGTATAGAACTAATAAAATATTTTTGATATTTTTTTATGTGTAATAAAAATTTGTCCATAAATCTCTTAAACAAATATCATAACTTGAAAATTACAATAGAATAAATAAATTATGTTATTTTCATGCAAATATGTCTGTGCTAAATAAAATTTGAATACTATCCCAATTTGCGTTTATATAAATGTCAAATACTTTTCAGGTAGTTCAGTTTAAGAAAATTTCAAGTGTTAATTTTCTGACTTAAATATAACCTTTTCTTAGTTATATAAAATAAAAAAATGTTTTTTGCTACAGTTTTAGTTGCAATAATAATTAGTTATTGTAATGAAACACACGGTTTTCCTCAAAACGCATTAAAGTTTCTGGGAAACGAACCTGCGT